AGTCAGTCTGATTCTTGATTTTGTGAAATTGATGACCGACGATCACGCACTTAAAACAGACGTGGACCTTACAATCCTCACAAAACATATCTTTGTTCTCTTGTTTGTGGATGCAGCACTTCTCGGATAGATGACCAATGCTGACCTTCCCGTTGATGATATCTTTTATGGATACAATCTCGTGAGCCTCAAACGTTAAAGACATATTCTGATGACCCGTCAGACACTGCTCACACAGGTAACCGTTGCAGGTTTTGCAGAATGACACAGCCTCTTCTTGACGTTTGCAAGCAGTGCATTTTGGACGCATCTCAAGGACAGCATTCATCCCTCCACATTTCGCGTGGTAATCGTCTACGAGTCCGTTGACAGTCACATTGGGGAGGAAATCACCGACACGGTTCGCAGATAACTTGGTGACCTCTCTGCAGAGAGGACAGATCATGTGATCGAGATCCTGATGGGATAGGTCATAGTTCTTGAGACATTTCCGACAGAAAGTGTGTCCACATGAAGTCAGGATGGTTGCCTCGTCGAAGATATCAAGACATAGCGGACACGTCAGGTTGTGTGAAGAGCTTGGAGCTTTATCTTCTCTAGTCTTCTCAGCCATTGGTACAATTTTCAGCTCGTTCTACGCATACAGCCAATGTTCAATAAAACTAAGTGTAATCAGCTAATGTACTAGAGGTCGACAGTCAGTTTATGCAAGCAAAAACGATATGCAATGAAGTACAGTAAAGTTGTACACCGTTTGTACTAATATCCCAAGTTCAAGTTCTCAAGTTGATTGATAATACGCGTCGAAAGAGGTTCGCCTATCTTGATCTTTGATTACTTAAACTCAAAGTCCAGTCACACAGTCGTAGCGTGCGCAGTTCCAGAGATAAATTATTGTTCCAGATTCGTCATGGTAAAACTAAAGTTACTCTCGAGGAGCATGCCTTTGCCATTGCTGCCCCCAAACTATGGAATAGCTTTCCAATAGAAATACGAAGCTCTCCATCTCTCAATGTATTCAAATCCAAATTAAATTATTTGTTCAATTGAGAGATTCTAGTTTGTAGAATTTAGTTTTTAAAAAGGAGATCTGAACCAGCGGCGCGGCTGAATATATTTTGTATAAAAGCTGTGCTATATAAATTTATTATTAGTATTATTATCAAAAGTAATAATTCTCTATTGTGTGTATAAATAAAGTTACAGTGGTAATATCACACTTGAGTAGATCGTGTGTTCATATATAATGCAGTTTGAGCATCCTATAAATGGAAATGGGTTTTTCCCACAGAGAGCGCGCGCAGCATTTGAGCATCTTTGAACTGGCAGTTTATACGTATTCATCATTTTGTCTACATAAGGCGACTTAAGGCTTTCAGTGGTGGATATATTATGTTGTAGATCCACTTTAGTAGAATCCTGATAATAAAGATAGACGTTTTATTTGCTTTTATTACTATCATTTGAATGGTAAAGGACGGTAACCACACTTGCTTTCCACATCTTCTTTCTTTACTATGCTTCCTTTATCTCCTTCCATGTCCCTCTTTCTCTTTCTCTTTCTCTGTCAGCAATTTATATTCTTGTGATTAGATTGCTTCGAGGCTATGACATTCCTTTCAATGTACAATTTGCCAGAAAACAAATTTCACCGTTTCCCCTCTCTTATAAAATCTCATGATTTTGACTTACAACCATTATAATGTGAATCATTTCTGTCTCAAGAGCTGATAACATGATGAATCATATCGAATTGAACATGTCGGTATTATAGCTCATATTGCACAGAAATATGGTTTATTTATAATAAACATGCTTGGACCCTTCAACAATGGGTCGGTGAAATAATGAAATGATTTTCTCTCATCACAATTCTGTCTGATATAAGCATCTTTTTCTATTTCTGCCTCTCTATCTCTCTCTCTCTCTCGCTCTTTGTTTTTTCTTGTCTCACACACACACACACACACGCACATTCTGGATCCTCGCGATCACACTAACTTTGTCTCACTCTCTCTATCTCTTTCTCTCTCTCTCCTTTTTCTCTCTCTCTTTCTTTCTCTGTGTCTCCTCCTCTCTATCTTTGTCTCTCGTTCACTCTCCTATAAACCCCTGAATATTACGAAAGTCTATGATATGTGCAATTATCAACTCAGTAACAATGAACAACTCAGGCAGTCGATCATTTCATAATCTGAAAATATGCTGCTCTTGTTATTTTAATATGCTTATGCTTGTATCAATAACGAAGGAATATATTACAGATGGCGATATCAGCGAGTACAGTAATCTTACAGCAATATCCTGTGTCCATCAACAATTCCTTGTACTTACTAACAACAAAAAACATGTAATAAGCTCCCTCTACAGCGTATACAAACTATCTTTTTCTAAATAAAAAGAGACAACAATTCATTTAGAAAATACAAATACAAAATGTGAACTTTTAGACTTGGTTAATCATATATTTACAAAACTTTGAACAAAACAGTGCAGAGACCAGAAGTCTTACCAAAAAAAGTCATAAGAATTGACCAAACAAAGGACTACTTAGACCATCCATGCTTTTCACGAAAAAATGTCAGTGTCGAGAATGCCCTTTGAGTTTGTTCCCGAGAACCCTCGAGAAGGGCAACCAAGTCGATCACATTGGGGCACCGCATTGAAAACCCATGCACCAAACTTTGTCAGGAGGCAGTTGAAGGTACATTACCATGACACAAAAACTGAAAAAAAATGACCGGGTAATAGTATATTATTATTATTTTTATTATTATTTTATTTGGCAAATCAAGTCACATAATACAACAATATAACAAACATGAATTGAGATTAAAAAATCAATAGAAAGCATATATAAATATTGCAATAGCAGGTGCATCCGGTCGAGCTGCCCGGGTATGGAAAAAGTTAACCAAATAACTGTGATCCGCAGACCTTCCTCCCCACACCCGACTAGATGCACCTGATATTGGTTAAAATAAAGCTTTAAAAAGAAAAGATAGATGAGAAGAAAAATGGAGGAAAAAGGGAGAAAAACGAAGGAAAAAGAAAAAGAAAAAAAGAAAAGAAAGAGAAAAAAAAAGAAAAAAAAAGAAAGAAGAAGAAGAAGAAAAAAAAAAAAAAAAAAAAAAAAAAAAAAAACATTGCATAACAATTTTTTTTTAAATTGTGAATTCATGACAGGTATAGTAACATATTGTAACTGTTAATCATTAACACCATCATCACGTTGTAAAAAAAAAAATATAATATCATTATCATTATCGTTATTAACATTATTACTACTACCGTTACTATCATTATTATTATGATTATTATAATTTATATCATTGACATCAATATTTATATTAAAACATCAACAAAAAATTAATTTTCATTGAGAATACAATTTCAACAACAACCAGTCTCGAAGCTATTGCACGATCATAATATGTACAGATGAAGGTAAGCCCTATATCATGTTTATGAAAATATTAAAATTCAGTAATACAATTTTGGAATGGTTTGGAATGGTTAAAATGGACTGTGTATTATTTCAAGTACATATCATTATTGTTTCATATTATATAATGAGAAATGGAACAAAAATTATACGGTATACATCTCAGGTGGTTATTATGTGAAGTCTTATTTATAGAATTGAAGAATTATTTATATTCTATAAATGACTATAAACAGCAGCAATTAAACAACTAGCAATAAGAAAGCATAAACAGCATTAAAAGATCACACTGTTACAAATATGTATAAGCATATTCGTCATTATTATCAACATCATTTATATTATTGTTATTGCAATCATTATTATTGCTACGATTATAACATAATAGTTACAATCATTATTAATATTATTAAGAAATATAATGTATAATACAACATGAATAAATACGGTATCATATATACAGATTTACAAGCCAGAGTTCAACACCTTCAAGTGGGAGCACCAAGTGCCAATTTGAGTCAATAGTACATCGTTACGAATATGTTGAGGAAGTGTGTCCCACAATCTGGGAAATGAGTTAATGGCTGACGAACGCAGTCTTTCAGTTCGAGCGAACAAATGTTTGAACTTCAGGTCGGTACTATACCTTGGGTTTACATTTATGGCGCTGTTTACACTATCGCAGGATACATACATAAACAAACATTTGATAATGAATGTGATCAAAGTATACTTCCGACGAGACTCAAGAGATGACCAGCGGAGGCGTCGCAACCTTTCCTCGTATGACATTTCCATTCTTCTTTGTTTAAGGATAATTCGGGTTGCTCTACGTTGAATACCTTCAATCTTACCGATTAAATTTTTCGTATACGGGGTCCAAACCGGTAGACCATACTCGAGTATGGGTAGAATAAGAGCTTTGTACAGACAAAGTGTAGCGTGGGAAGAGAGACCAGATGAAACACTAGAAAGCAGCCCAAGGAGCCGGTTGGCTCGTGAGACAATGTAGTTGACGTGACTATCCCAAGATAAGCGGTTATTTATCATGACACCTAAATATTTGGTCTCAGTTACTACATCAAGAAGAACGCTATTGATGCTGTACTCGGGAATACCTGGATTCTTAGCGCATGATATCCTCATGACTTTAGATTTTGAAGCGTTGAGACACATCTTGTTGTCTTGGCACCACTGATGAATGCTATCGATGTCATTTTGGAGGTATTGGTGATCGACGGGAGCATACATGGGGCGAGAGATGACAGTGTCATCCGCGAATAATGCACATGAGGAGTCAATGTAGCGGGGCAGGTCATTGATGAACAAGTTAAATAGACAAGGACCTAATACGCTGCCCTGTGGGATACCGGATGTTGGTGAACTCCGTGAAGAGAAATATCCTTTATACTGAACACGCTGTTGACGTCCAGACAGGAAAGACCGAATCCAGTACCATACGTCACCAGTAACATTATATAATGAAGACAATTTGTGCAATAGAACATCGTGAGGCATGCGGTCGAAGGCTTTTGAAAAGTCGAAAAAGACTGCGTCAATACGGGGCGGGCGACGTTGATCTAAGATAGACATCCACTGGTGAGTAATGGTCAGAAGTTGGGTCACACATGATTTTTTAGATACAAAACCATGCTGGACTTGTGATGAAAGGCAATTCGATTCCATGTGATTGCAGATTGCCCTAGAAATGAACGATTCCATCAATTTACTAACAATGGACGTTAGTGCTACTGGACGATAATTTGTTACAAGCGACCGATCACCAGCTTTGAAAACAGGTGAGATATTAGCCTGTTTCCACGAAGATGGTAGAGATTGATGTCGAAGAAACAAGGCGAATAGGCGCTGAAGAATTGGTGAGATAACTTTTACAGATTTCTTAAGCATCGTTGGCGTGATAGAATCAGGTCCTGGACTTTTCTTATCTTGTAGAAGCATTATAGCCTTTGCTATATCACTAGTAGATATCTCGACGGAACAAAGTGGAGGAATCGGATGAACACACGCGTCAGGAACATTTGGTAAGTTACTAGGAGGAGGGTAAATAGACTGGAAGTAAGTTGCAAACCTTTCTGCAATGTCGTTTGGTTTATTGATGACGTTGTTGTTATCAACGAGGACCGGAGGGGCCAAGCTAGTCTTTCTTGACCTAACATAGGCAAAGAAACGTTTTCGGTTATCATTCAATGTAAACAGGTGGTTGACATACAACCAGTATGAACTGTTAATCATGCTCTTCGTTTTATTCCGGACTTCTTTGAACTTCATCCAGTCACCTGAACTATTAGAGCATTTAGCAATTGTGAAGAGCCTATGTTTCTTCCTAATGAGGCCCTTGATTTCTCGAGTGATCCACGCTTTTGTCTTCTTGGATCCGGATAACTTATGTGGTATGGCATCACGGGAAGCTGCCAACAACAAATCAAGGAATCCTTCCCAAGTGGCATCAACATCATTAGGGTCAAAATACAGGTCCCAGGGAGCTAACTCCAACAATTGATTGAAATGGTCAAAGTCGGCTTTTTTGTAGAGGAGAAATTCGCGTAATGTACCCTTTCCAACGAATGGCTTGAGCAGTCTGAATCTAAAATAGATGGCGAGATGATCACTCGAAACCGGGTTAGGCTGAACATTAATAGAATCAAATAGATCTGGACGGTTAGTGTAGAAGTGGTCAATCGTCGAACCAATTGTGGGGTTACGTGTTGACTGGCGTGTGACAGACTTCACTTCCTGAGACAGATCAGCTGCTTCCAACATTGACAACAGCCTAACAGCATCAGGTGCATCAGGATCCGTCACATCGATGTTAAAATCACCAGTCAGTATGATACCTCTGTGATTCAATGAGGACACCTGGATCTGGTCGATGTGGTCTTGAAGTCGATCCCAGAAGTCCGATAGGTTGCTTGGAGGTCTGTATAGTGCAGATACAATCCATTTTGAACCGTTTATGGATATCTCCGCTGATATATTTTCTAACTGTTGGTGGTCGAGATTTTCCAACCGTCTAGGGTTTAGACATGCTTTCAAGCACAAAAGAACACCACCACCGTGACGTACATCATTAACAGTTTCACGATCTCGTCGAAATATGACATACTCATCAGGGATCGAAAGTTCACTATCAGTACATGATGAATCCAGCCAGGTTTCCGTAATACAGATAATGTCAGGTCGAGTGCATTCTATGAAAGTTAACAAATCTATGCACTTGTGCCGTATACTTCGGGCATTGAATGATATTCCAGACAAGCAACGGTGCGTTGACAATCTGGTTTCCGTGGTAGAGGGTCCTGGATTGACTTCTATATCTCCACTACATATTATCGAGAGTTGAAATGTGATATATGAATTAGCGTAGTAGGGAATACGGGCTCCGTGGTACCCTCTGTGTAGACTACTTTGACACCTTACAGGTTCAAAGCGATGAGCATATTCAGTTACAGGCGCTTGCCTGGGGCAAGTACTTAAGAGAAGGATTAGTAGTACGCTTAACTTGTGTATCTCCATCGGAGCGTATTGGCCAGTACCCCTTGCTTTTGAATGATGTTACCCTTCTATTGTCTGAGGGGGACACTTCTATTGTTCTCTTGTCCCCTTCTCAACATACACAGCAAAGAGAATACACGAACATGGCTTCAGTACATACCCAGTACAGCATAAATCAAGAAGTGTTTTCCAGGAAATATCACAACTGGAAGCGTAAAATTCAATTCCAAACTTGTCCTGGTGCTTCCCAGATATACACTTTCTCTAGTAGTTAACAGTAAAAACACGACGTTTGACAAAACAACGATCACAAAGTTAAAAATCCGGGAGCTAAAACTAGAGCTGACTGCCTGTTAAGCTGTACTCTTACATTATTATTTTGTAAAGCGCTTAGAGACATTTGTAATAAGCGCTATATAAAAATTAAATATTATTATTATTATTATGGAAGAGGATGGGTTTTTTTTCCAACTCAGCATATGATAAACATAATCCTATCTTACCCCATTCTCTTTCTACCGTTATTAAATTTAGATTAAGATATTTCAAATTACATGTCACAAATCGATAGTCTGTATAGATTTAATTGAATTAAATCGAATTTAGTTAAACTGAATCCAAAGCAATTGAAGCGGTAATTAAAATGGAAAATACAACTACCAAATACAGATAAAATATGCAAAGTAAAATTACCAAATAACTTTCACAATGATATCATAATATTCTTCATTTACTTAAAATGCTTAATCAAGCAACACAACTTCCGACTGATAAGCGAAGCCTAATATTTGTTAAAAAACATTGTTCTTCTCAACAATATAGTTAACTAATTTGTCAAATCATCAGTTCCTAGAGCATTCTATTTACTGAATTTTAAGACAGGGTGCAAAGTGACTACAAGGAATTTGTAATGGAATGTAGCAATATTTTCACCATGATCCTGCATGTAAGGCTTCTTATTTGAATTTGATATGATGTATTAGTCAAGTTCAATGTAACATACATACGTAGAGTAAAATTATATCACAAAATAAAAACAAAATGATAATAATAACTTGACAGGATGACCATGAGAACTGAAAAGCTTTTTTTTACAATGGGTCCTATTTACAAAATCAGTATTAATTATTTCTTCTTATCTTCTTCTGTCAAAGATACACGAAAATCACAGTAAAAATCACAAAATATAAGTATAAACGTTAACATACATTGAGAATAATGACATAAGAGAAATAACACTTATAAGAAGTTAATCAACATTTTATCCATTTTTAAGTTATGCACACAGTACTTGCATCTATTTAAAGCCTCTCAAGTGGTAGGTACCTCTTAAATTCAAATTAATGGTATGTCTGTATTTGTTGTTATTCTTTAATTTTGGAGTTCCGATCATTTGTTTAAATATTGAAGAGAAAACAAGTACACAACGCAAAAAGCATATGCATATTTCACTTATTTATTACATACTATTTTGATAGAGGGAAGTTTTCATGTTATTGGAGAATGGATAATGACAACTTACTGTATACAGGTAATTAAAATCTATTGAGAGAATGAACATCTTCTCATTCGGTTATACTTATTACATAATACAAATTAGAATATAAAACATTGGCCCCTTTTATAGATCTGGAGCAGAGAGGTATACACACTACAAATAATGGTAATATAGGGTGTGAGATGGATTACAGTGATACTTTGATAAAATACAACTTGAACTTACAAGCAAACGCGAGCATGTCTGGTGAGAGGGAAACCAAGTAACACCAGCCCCAACCAAGCGTCAGATTAAGTGCATTGAACTCAACTCTCTCCTTCAGGTTTAGATCATCAAGGTCATAGAGCCTGATCACCACGTTACCATTCTTACGATCAACACTCGCTACATACACCCTGTCCTGCTCATCCACGGCAGCATACAGGGGGAGACCGTCTTGAGCTTGTAGAGACTTACCAGCATTCCCATCCCTGTCATAGACCGTCACCACGCTTTGATTGGTATGATTACATGAACTCGTGACGATCAAACCCGACCTGGTACCAGATACCTGGCTCGTCACGTTGTGTCTTGTTGGAACAGTGTGTTTGAGGGTGGATCCAGTCGGGTCATAGATATATACTTTCTTCTCATAGCTAACGATGAGGATTTCATCTGATGGACTTCTGTTTAGTTTGAGAACATAGCCATTGTTTTTCATGTGGACGGTTGATTTCCTGGAGCCATTGGGAGAATATATTTCTGCTTTGCTACCCGTCGATATGCATAACGACCTGTCTTGTTGAAACACAAGATCATAACATTGCATGTTACTTGGTATGTTTGCATACTGCTCCTTTTTGCCAGCTGAATCAATGATATCTATACCATGTGTACCACCATATCCGATAGCCACACTGTCATCGGAGTACTGGGTCATTCCATACATCCATCCCCGTAGGTCTACACACTGAATGACTTGCAACTTGGGATCTGATCCTGCGATGCTCCCGAGGTCAAGACGAGTGTCATCTGCAAGCTTGAACTTCTTCTCCTGTGCTTTCTTCGTAATCGCTGCCGCAGAAGTGTGATCAGTTGCCTCCTTCAGCATGGCATCCAGCTCCTCACAGAGAAAGGTATGAGCAGACAAACTGTCTGTCTCAAGACGACCCAGTCTGTCATTAGCTACCAGTGTTATTGAACTACAAATACTCTTGATTTTCTGTCGATCCTTAGATTTCAAGACGTTGAGGTCGTCCTCGAAACTCCGCTTTACTGCATTGATTTGCTCGATTAGACTTTGCTGATTTTCTTCAAGCTCTTTGGCCTTGATGCTGTAGGCTTGACTGACATCGTCCAGTAGTTTCTGCACGGCAGTGTATACTTCATGGCGTTGTACTTCGACATTCTGAATGTTTTTCTCCAGTTCTGTCTTCTTAGCGGCACATCGCTGGACAAGGTCATTCACCTAAACATAACAGATAATAGGAAGTGAAAAGAACATTTTCTAGCGTGAGATGTATGATAATAATTACATGGAGCTGATTTTAAAATTAAACACGAAAACATGATAGTAAGAACCACCCCCTACCTACTCGAAGTCAGCCTAGGCCTGGTTCTTGATTTTGATGACCAACTGAGACATACGTGGACTTTACAATCCTTGATTCCTTGTCGGGGGAAATTTATTTTAAGCACACCCGTTGATAGATGGGAAAATGTGTTCCCTGGGTTGCAGTGCCTATAATATTGTAGACAGGGTTTACAAATACAGTAAACACCGGGTCTCTTATTATTGGAGGGAGTTTATGTAGCGTCCGCCTTGAGAAAGTGTTCGTTTTAGGCTCCTGAAAATTACTTTTCGGTGCGCTTGATAGCTCATTTTGCAAAGGAATTTAATGTTATTTTTATTTTTTATTTTTCCTTGCGAGTGGAAGGGGGGGCAGAGGACTAGCTGAAATCAATTGTGTCCCTGACAAGAATAATGCGGGGACATCAACCCCCCTCCCCCTCCTTTCCGGCGCCTATATGGTACCTTCCCCTATCAGAATTATATAAGTCTATAAACTTGACAGGCCTTAGCCAAACGCAATTATATTTTAAATGACCCCACTTACTTTAAGACGTAACTTCTGCTCGAAGTCAGCCTGATTCTCGATGTGGTGATTTTGATGACCGACGATCACGCACTTGAAACAGGCATGGACCTTACAATCCTTACAAAACATCTCTTTGTTCTCTTGTTTGTGGATGCAGCACTTTTCCGATAGATGGCCAATGCTGACCTTCCCGTTGATGATGTCCTCTATGGGTAAAATCTCGTGACCTTCAAAGACTTTAAGATTTTGATGACACTCTAGACACTTATCACAAATGTAGTTATTACATGTACAGCAGAATGAGACGGCATCTTTCTGAAGCTTGCAAGCAGTGCATTTTGAACGCATCTCAAGGACAGCGTTCACCCCTCCACACATGACGTTGTAATTGTCTGCAAGTCCGTTGACCGTCACATTGGTGAGGAAATCATCAACACGGTTCGCAGACAACTTGGTGATTTCCCTGCAGAGAGGACAGATCATGTGATCAAGATCCTGATGGGACAGATCATAGTTCTTGAGACACTTCCGACAGAAGGTGTGTCCACATGAAGTCAGGATGGTTGCCTCGTCGAAAATTTCAAGACATAGTGGACACGTCAGGTTCTCTGAAGAGCTTGTAGGTTTCTCTTTCTCAGTCTTCTCAGCCATTGGAACAAATATCGGATTTCCGGCTTATTCTATGGATATATTCAGGGTCCAATGAAGCAGTTATGTGTGATCAGCTAATGTGTATTTAAAGTCAACAGTCGTTCATGCAAGCACAAACTATATGCAGTGATATAGTAGATTGTACCAATATCCTGAGTCAACGTAACAAGCTAGTGCGTCCTAACTGCATATTAGTTCTATACCAATTTCTCACGTTGATTACAAATATGTGTCGAAAGAGGTGCGAATAACTTTGATCAAAAGTACTGAGTCTCTATCCAAGTGTATACATCAATACAAATGTGATTGCAATGATGTACGCTCACACTTATTATGAAGTAGATCGTCTGTGAAACTAATGCAGCTTGTGCATCCTATGAAGAGAAGTGGGTATTCCCACAGAGAGCGCGCCCAGCGTATGCACCTTTGAACTTAATTGGCGGTATTTTAGTAGTGGATACATTGTGTTGGAGATCCACTTTATTAGAATCCTAGGTTTTATTTGCTGTTATCATTTTGTTTGGAAGGTTAAGGGACGGTAACCACACTTACATTGCACCCCTTCTTTATCCACCATTCTTCCTTTATCTTCTTCCGTCAGTCTCTCATTCTCTTCTCTTTCACTGTCAAAATTTCTCTTAACGTATAGAAACCTACTTGGCGACACTTATTACAATGCAAAATTCGCCTGAAAAAAATATTTCTCCACTTCCTCTCGTAAACAATATATACAAAATCTTATAGATTATGCTTCTAACAATGATAATCATGTCTGTCTCAAAGAGCTGACATTAAGAAAAGTGATATCAAATAGAATATGCAGGCCATACTGCACGGAAATATGATTCATTTAAAATTATAATATATTAAGTAAATCACAATAGTTTTGTTTGTGATACTGCATTTCGGGAAAAACTGTTGGAAAATATTTATTTTCATTGTAAAGTGAATGAGTTGTTTTGGACCAGCAAAGTAGCCAAAGTAAGTCTGAAACATTGATGGAATCGATATCTGTGTGCAGTGGTTTTCACCGTTTGTGATTTACATCACGATTGATATCAATGTGTTATCACTTAAATGATTCCGAAATCTCACAGTAACCCTATACACAATTTAGTTTCAACAATTACTCCTATAAACTGCACAAATAGTATTTCCCAATAACTATATATTCAGTTTTCAATCGTTTCTGGACAATGACCATGCAGCACTCATCTTTATATGTAGTAATATCAAACGTTTAATCGCTCTGCTTAGATTATCTCAGGTATACAACAAGATTAATATAATCTTCTGTAATTTCTGTAGACTAGTGACAATCAGTAGAGCAGTATGTCTCATGAATTTGTGTGACACATGGGGTGTGCACGTACATGCCCTCTAATCGGATGGCATGAAAAAAGGTAAGAGCGAGGGGAAAGATGCAGGAAAATATTTTTAAAATACCATGAGATAATAAATATTAGGAGTTACCCTTAGCTCGAAAATGTTCTACGAATATTATACTATTATTTTAACGGAACTCTTACAACAGATTATTATTCAGAGAAAAATATATATTTAGTGTTAGTGACGTAAGCAGCGAACGTTTCTACAATCTGATATCTTTTAAACAGACTCTCATGCACCAACAAGTGCTGTCTGGGAGTGGGTATATTGAAAAAAACATTGATAAGTCTTCCGTGTTCAAAAAGCATTTGATTTATCCAAGGAAACATCGTTTAAGAGAGTTCAATTATAAATTGCTGTACTATATACTACCTGTTTGAAACAATATTTAAAAATAGGGAATAGCAGAAGACAGATACTGCCCCTAAGCACCACGTTATAGAGGACATTGTCCATGTGTTTATTGAATGTGAACTAATCAAAATGTCCTTGATTATGTCAAACAGGTTGTGATGTTTGTTTTTAATATTGATATTTTCATGGATATCTTTTGTTTGCCTATGATTACCAATGACAGAGAGGTAGACGTTGTAATAACTATCGCATTCCGGTGTATGTACAAAATATTAGTCTTCTGGAATAAGTACATGTATTATTTTAATGATAAGCGTTTCAAAGTAAGGTACGTATTTGAAAGAGAAAAAAATACACAGACTACTCGCAAATCAGGAGCTAAAAATCCTGACAAGAGGTTCCCATAGATATGGTTAAAAACACCTTAAATGGTAAGTAGTGAAATATTGTACAGGCGAGAAAAGATGTGTCTTGTATTGATAACATATGGTACTTCAGTTATATTTGTTCTCATAACTTCATTTTGATACCTGAATTGAAATAAGACATCTCAACTGAGGCACACACACTAGCATTCTCTTCCCAAGTGTGTACTTGAATATCAATGTGGTTACAATGGTAAAATCACATTTGAGTAGATTATGCACGACTAGAACGCGGACTGCCCTTTTAAGGCAATGTGACGTCACTGCCAGTGCCTTAAAAGGACGTCACATTGCCTTAAAAGGGCAGTCCACGTTCTCGTCGTACAGAATCTAAAAGTCCCTATTATCATGCAGTTTGTGCATCCTAAGAATAGAAGTGGGTTTTCCCTCAGAGCGTATTTATAAGCATGCACCTTTGAACTTATTGGTGGTATTCATTTCTTTTTTAATATATAGAGGGCGACTTATTTAGGCCTTAAGTGATGGATACATTCTGTTGGAGATCCACTTTAGTAGAATCCTGAAAAATAGAGCAAGACGTTTCATGTGCTTTCATTACTATGATTGGAAGAGTAAAGGACGGTCGCTACATTTGTTCTCCAGGCCATCTTTTTCCGCAAAGCTTCCGTTATTTACTTATACTAGTATTTCTCTCTTTCTCTTCCTCTTTCTCTTTCAACAATTAAATGACTCTTCCAGTGTCAATCAACAATACCGTGTACATACAACACAAATAATGTATATGTAAATATAGGCTAGTATAACAGCATATATATATACTTTTTATAGCTATTTTTTAATAAAAAGAAAAGAAACAAAAGAGGAAAATACAAGATACGAACTTTGAGACATGTGTTTTTAAAGGTACTTAACAAAACTGTGTACAAAAACAGTAGAAAGACGATGTATGTATCAAAACAGTCGCGCCATGTTACCCATAAGAATTGACTTTCGTTCTGTGATCGAAAACATAAAGTAAGTGCAGTTTCCGTCGAGATGCGGTCATCAAACCCCCCCCCCCCCAAAAAAAAAAAAAAAAAAAAAACAACAACAACAACAACAACAACAACAACAAACAAACAAAACACGCTAAAAACAAAAACAAAACCGAATAATTTTTTTAAAAAGAAAGATATGAAGAAAATTGTCCCCAAGCTAGGTCGCCTATGCACACAAGGAATGTCTACGATGTTATATTCTTGCAAACATATCAACTGGTATGTCGTTTTATTAACAATGGGGAAACATTGAATTGATGTTTGCTCAGGTTTCATCCCTTGGTTTGCCATGAATGTCTACTAGCGTGAACAAAGAAAGATTTAAAACCCTCATCATTTCTACAACTCATCATATACTGTATATGATAAACATAATCCTATCTTACCCCATTTACTTACGACCGTTTTAAAATGCAGATTAAGATATTTCAAATTCCGTGTCACAAATCGATAGTCTGTATATAGATTTGATTGAAATGAATCTCTCTTGTATCCTTTTCTCCGCTCAGGTCGGATTTAATTGGAGCGGTAATTAAAACGGAAAATACAAGTACCAAATACAGATAAAATATGCAAAGTAAAATTACCAACTAACTTTCACCAACATATCATGATATTCTTCATGTACTTAAAATGCTTAATCAAGCAACTCAACTTCCGACTGTTAAGTGAAGCCTAATTTTTGTTAAAACATTGTTCTTCTCAGCAATATAGTAAACTAATTTTTCATAATTTCAGTTCCCAGAGCAGAGTGCAAAGTGAATACGAAGGAATTCGTAATGGAATGTAGCAATATTTTCACCATGGTCCTATGAAGCTTCTTATTAGAATTTGATATGATGTGTTAGACAAGTTCAATGTAACATACATACGCAGAGTAAAATGATATCACAAAATAAAAACAAAATGATAATAATAACTTGAAAAGATGACCATGAAAACTTAAAAGCTTATTTACAATGGGTCATATTTACAAAGTCAGTATTAATTATTTCTTCATATTTTCTTCTTTCAAAGATACAAAATAATCACAGTAACAATCACAAAATATCAGTGCAAACAAAATAAACGTTAAAATACATGAGAATAACGACATAAGAAAAATACTACTCAAAAGAAGTTATCAATATTTTTTATCAATTTTCAAGTTATACATACACATGTTTATTACCATATCACTTGCATCTATTTATTTCGTCTCAAGATGTAGGAACCTCTTAAATTCAATTTTATTAGAATGCCTGCATTTGTTGTTATTCTTTGATTTTGCAGTACCGATCTTTTGTTAAAAAAAAGTGTATGCATAATTTACTTATTTGTTACATACTATTTCGATAGAGGGAATGTTCATTTTATTGGATAATGACAACTGTATTCAGGTAATTAAAGTCTATGGAGAGAATGACCATCTTCCCATTCGGTTAACTAATTATCACACAATAAACGTTAGAATATGGAGCAGAGAGGTATACACACTTTAAATAATGATAATATAGAATGTGAGATGGATTACAGTGATACTTTGATAAAATACAACTTATTTTGACAAGCAAAGGCGAGCATGTCTGGTGAGAGTGAAACCAAGTAACACCATTCCCAACCAAGCGTCAGATTAAGTACATTGAACTCAACTCTCTCCTTCAGGTTCAAACCATCAAGGTCATAGAGCCTGATCCCCACGTTACCATTCTCTTGATCAACACTCGCTACATACACCCTGTCCTGCTCATCCAGGGCAGCATACAGGTAGACATCGTTTGGAGCTTGTAGAGACTTACCAGCATTCCCATTCCTGTCATAGACCGCCACCACGCTTTGATTGGAGTGACAACATGAACTCGTGACGATCAAACCCGACCTGGTGGCAGATACCTGGCGCGTATTGTTGTGTTTTGTTGGAACAGTGTGTTTGAGAGTGGATCCAGTCGGATTATAAATGTAGACTTGCTTCTCACCGGTAGTGATAAGGATTTCATCTGATGAACTTTTGTTTAGTCTCAGATAATATGTACTGCTTTTCACGTGATGGATGATTGATTTCCTGGATCCATTGGGAGAATATATGTGTGCTTTGTCGCTACTCGTTGATAGGCATAACGACCTGTCTTGTTGAAACATAAGATCAAGACACTTCATGTTACTTGGTATGTTTGCATACTGGTGCTTGTTACCAGCTGAATCAATGATGTCTATTCCATGTGCATCCCAATATCCAATAGCTGCACTGTCATCAGAGTACTTGGTCATTCCATACATCATTCCTCGTAGGTATACACACTGAATGACTTGCAACTTGGTATCTGGTTCTGAGATGCTCCCGAGGTCAAGACGAGTATCATATGCAGGGTTGAACCGCTTCTCCTGTGCTTTCTTCGTAATGGGTGCCGCAGAAGTGTGATCAGTAGCTGATTGTAAGATGCTCCCGAGTTCAAGACGAGTATCATCTGCAGGCTTGAACCTCTTCTCATGTGCTTTCTTCGTAATGGCTGTCGCAGAAGTGTGATCAGTAGCCTCCTTCAGTATGGCATCCAGCTCCTCACAGAGCAAGGTATGAGCTGACAGACTGTCTGTCTCAAGACGACCCAGTCTGTCATTAGATACCAGTGTTATTGAACTACAGATACTCTTGATCCTCTGTCGATCCTTGGATTTCAAGACGTTGAGTTCGTCCTCGAAACTCCGCTTTACTGCATTAATTTGCTCGATGAGATTTCGATGATTTTCTTCAAGCTCTTTAGCTTTGATGCTGTAGGCTTGACTGACATTGTCCAATAGTTTCTGCACGGCAGTGTAAACTTCATGGCGTTGTACTTCCACATTCTGAATGTTCTTCTCCAGTTCTGATTTCTTAGTGGCACATCGCTGGACAAGGTCGTTCACCTTAACAGAACACATAATAGAGAATTGAAAAGAACATTTTGCAGAATGAGATGTATGCCAATCACATAGAGATGGTTTGATAATCAAACACCGGAGTTTGGAGGCGCCTGATTTTTCACAAAATGTAGAACCAAGACCCCCCCCCCTCCCCCTCCGCAACAAACACCTTTTTTCCTTTCGCACAAACGTTTCTTGAAAATTACAAAGAATAATGTATTTAAGTTTCAATTACAACAAAAAAGAAGTACATGTACATTGTATTCCTCTTATTTTTGTATATGTTTTAATGCGAAGAAGCAGATTTAAGATACTCAAGTTATTATTTACATAAGACGTCATTATAAAAGAGTTTATTTAATACTAAGAATCATATATAACTCGATATAAAGTTTACTATAAAGCTATTGAGTGTACAAACCCGGATAAAAAAATAAATGCTTCTGTGAAATTGAAATGTGTAATCAAGTAAAGTTTGAAACATATCGAAACATCCCAGTCTACTTCAAAATAATGATTTGCACATAAGTGAGCATATGCGAGCAACAGAAAGAGCTTCATGTCTTCTCAGAGGTGGTGGCAACATTGCTGTCTTACCCCGTTACTAAATAGAACTTTGAACTTCGCACCCTACCCGTTTAAAGCGCATATGCAGTAGACAGTGTTTGTACAATGATAAGAAACATCCCAAGAAGCATCAAAATGCGGGGAAGTCTAGCGATTGAGAGGAGAAAGATAGCGTTTTGGAAATTTAGAACCATATTTCAGATGAATTAAAAGCTTTTCTAGTCAATATAATACGATAATTATTGTGCTAATATCTTGCGAGGCGGGCGGGGCCTAGGCCTTCTCCCCATCGATCTGTTTTCCGTGTAATTCAGAAAATGTGCGATGCGTGGAGCGTAGCGACCAAAAAAAAGAAGAACCTATTTTGCTTTGCAAATGTTTGTCTAGCAAGAGAGGCGGAAAAAATGAATCCCCTTTGTTTGTAAAGATATTTGGCCTTGTTAGAGGTAGGGGGCAGAAATGATTTGGCTCCACCCCCGATAGAGGGAATAATATACCTCTTGCTTTTGCTGCCTCTTGGAGACAGGCTTTCTACATGGGACTGCAATCTATATTTTGTAGAGCAGAGTAGCGACCAATAACTGAGTAAATTCAGGTTTTGTAATGGTTAAATTCTGCATTTTAGAGGACTAATCTGCTGACAGGGCTTTGCTGCAAAATATTTAATGTCAAGGGGGGAGGGGATCTCATGTCACCCCAACCCTTTGATTGATAGAAGTGTTTGTTCCCATGCTTGGGGTGCCTTTATGGTAGAAACTAGGGGCTTACTAACATAATAAACACCGGATTTATTAATATTCGAGAGAGCGTAATGACACTCATTACTTTATTTTTCAGAGTACTTATCTTATTATAATGCAAAAGAATGATATATAGTTTTCCTTCTTTCCCTTGCCAGGCAACTCCCCCCCCCCCCCCCCCCCAACCTTCTCGAATTATTTCGTCAGCCCCCTCTGTCCCCACCCCACCCCGCTTACGGCGCGTACGCGGTACATTAAGTTAAATGAAACCACGTTTACCTTAATCCGTAACTCCTGCTCGAAGTCAGCCTGATTCTTGATTTTGTGAAATTGATGACCGACGATCACGCATTTGAAACAGACGTGGACCTTACAATCCTCACAAAACATCTCTTTGTTCTCTTGTTTGTGGATGCAGCACTTTTCCGATAGATGACCAATGCTGACCTTCCCGTTAATGATGTCCTCTATGGATACAATCTCGTGACCTTCAAAGACTTTAAGAATTTGATGACACTCTAGACACTTATCACAAATGTAGTTATTACATGTACAGCAGAATGAGACTGCATCTTTCTGAAGCTTGCAAGCAGTGCATTTTGAACGCATCTCAAGGACAGCGTTCACCCCTCCACACATGACGTGGTAATTGTCTACAAGTCCGTTGACCGTCACATTGGTAAGGAAATCATCAACACGGTTCGCAGATAACTTGGTGATCTCCCTGCAAAGAGGACAGATCATGTGATCAAGATTCTGATGGGACAGGTCATAGTTCCTGAGACATTTCCGACAGAAGGTGTGTCCACATGAAGTCAGGATGGTTGCCTCGTCGAAGATACCAAGACACAGTGGACACGTCAGGTCCTGTGAAAAGCTTGGAACTTTTTCTTTCTTAGTCTTCTCAGCCATTTGTACAAATATCGGATTTCTGGCTAATTACAAACGCAAGTGCATTCTACGCCTATATCCAATTGATGTCCAATATAACTTAAAATTGTGATCAGCTAATGTGTCCTTAGAGCCAACAGTCGTCCATGCAAGCACAAACTATGTGCAGTGATGTGATAGATTGTACCAATATCCTGAGTCTACTAACAAGTGCGTCCTATAAACTGCATGCAGTTCTACACCAATTTCTCACGTTGATTACAAATATGTGTCGAAAGAGGTGCGAATAACGTTGATCAGAAAGTACTGAGTCTCTGAGTCTGTATACATCAATACAAATGTGATTGCAATGATGTACGCTCACACTTATTATGAAGTAGATCGTCTGTGAAAATAATGCAGCTTGTGCGTCCTATGAATAGAAGTGGGTTTTCCCACAGAGAGCGCGCCCAGCGTATGCACCTTTGAACTTAAATGGCGATATTCATCATTTTGATCTATAGAGGGCGACTTGTTTAGTTTTTAGTAGTGGATACATTGTGTTTGAGATCCACTTTATTAGAATCCTAGGTTTTTTTTGCTGTTATCATTTTGTTTGGAAGGTTAAGGGACGGTAACCACACTTACATTGCACCCCTTCTTTATCCACCATTCTTCCTTTATCTTCTTCCGTCAGTCTCTCATTCTCTTCTCTTTCACTGTCAAAATTTCTCTTAACGTATAGAAACCTACTTGGCGACACTTATTACAATGCGAAATTCGCCTGAAAAAAAATATTTTTCCACTTCCTCTGTTATACATTGTATACAAAATCTTATAGATTAGGCTTTTAACAATGATAATGTGAATCATGTCTGTCTCAAAGAGCTGATATCAAGAAAAGTGATATCAAATAGAATATGCAGGCCATACTGCACGGAAATATGATTCATTTAAAATTATAATATATTAAGTAAATCACAATAGTTTTGTTTGTGATACTGCATTTTGGAAAAAACTGTTGGAAAATATTTATTTTCATTGTAAAGTGAATGGGTTGTTTTGGACCAGCAAAGTAGCCAAAGTAAGTCTGAAACATTGATGGAATCGTATATCTGTGTGCAGTGGTTTTCACCGTTTGTGATTTACATCACGATTGATATCAATGTGTTATCACTTAAATGATTCCGAAATCTCACATTAACCCTATACACAATTTAGCCTTAACAATTACTCCTATAAACTGCACAATTAGCATTTCCCAATAACTATATAGTCAGTTTTCAATCGTTTCTGGACAATGACCATGCAGCACTCATCTTTATATGTAGTAATATCAAACGTTTAATCGCTCTGCTTAGATTATCTCAGGTATACAACAAGATTAATATAATCTTCTGTAATTTCTGTAGACTAGTGACAATCAGTAGAGCAGTATGTCTCATGAATTTGTGTGACACATGGGTGTGCACGTACATGCCCTCTAATCGAATGGCACGAAAAAAGGTAAGAGCGAGGGGAAAGATGCAAGAAAATATTTTTTAAATACCATGAGATAATAAATATTAGGAGTTACCCTTAGCTCGAAAATGTTCTACGAATATTATACTATTATTTTAGCGCAACTCTTACAACAGATTATTATTCAGAGAAAAGTATATATTTAGTGTTAGTGACGTAAGCAGCGAACGTTTCTACAATATGATATCTTTTAAACAGACTCTCCACCAACAAGTGCTGTCTGGGGGTGGGTATATTGAAGAAAAAAAATTGATAAGTCTTCCGTGTTCAAAAAGCATTTGATTTATACAAGGGAACATCGTTTAAGAGAGTTAAATTATAAATTGCTGTACTATATACTACCTGTTTGAAACAATCTTTAAAAATTGGGAATAGCAGAAGACAGATACCGCCCCAAGTACCACGTAATAGAGGACCTTGTCCATGTGTTTATTGAATGTGAACTGAACAAGTATGTATTTGATTATGTCAAACAGGTTGTGATGTTTGTTTTTAATATTGATATTTGCATGGATATCTTTGTTTGCCTATGATTACCAATGACAGAGAGGTAGACGTTGTAATAACTATCGCATTCCGGTGTATGTACAAAATGTTAGTCTTCTGGAATAAGTACATGTATGATTTTAATGACAAGCGTTTCAAAGTAAGGTACGTATTTGAAAGAGAAAAAATACACAGACTACTTGTAAATCAGGAGCTAAAAAATCCTGACAAGAGATTCCCATTAAAATGGTTAAAAACACCTTAAATGGTAAGAAGTGAAATATTGTACAGGCGAGAAAAGATGTGTCTTGTATTGATAACATAAAGTACTTCAATTATATTTGTTTCTCGTAACTTTATTTTGATGCTTAAATGGAAATTAGACATCTCAACTGAGGGACACACACACACAAGCATTCTCTTTCCAAGTGTGTACTTGAATACCAACGTGGTAACGATGGTAACATCACACTTGAGCAGATCGTCTGTCAATGTCATGCAGTTTGTGCATCCTATGAATAGAAGTGGGTTTTCACACAAAGCGTATAAGCATGCACCTTTGAACTTATTGGCGGTGTTCATTTTTGTTGTCATTAAAAAAAAAACTTATTTAGGCTTTCAGTGGTGTAAATATAATGTTGGAGTTCCACTGTGATAGAATCCTCGATAATAGAGCAAGACGTTTTATTTGGTTTCAATACTATAATTTTCACCCCCTTTTCTCCTCTTCTGTTATTTCCTTCTATTTTTTTAATTCTCTTCCCTTTTCTCTGTCAACAAATCAAATGACTCTTTCAGTGTCAATCAACAATACTGTGTGCATACAACAAAATAATGTACATGTAATCTTAGGCTAGGCTTACAGCGTATATATTTATTTCATTATTATAATCTAATATTTAAAAAGAAACAAAGAGGAAAATACAACATGCGAACTTTGAGACATTGTGTTATAGTATTTTACAAAACTCTGTACACAAACAGTATAGAGACCATGCGTGTCTATCGAATTACTATAGTCGCCTCCTTTTACCCATAAGAATTGACTTTCTTTCTACAAACAAAAACATAAAGTGACTGCATTTTCCATCGAGATGCGGTGATGAGAACCTACCCCTAAACAAAGAAAAACCACAAAACCATGTTTTAAGAACGATAGAAAGAAGAAAATTGTCCCCAAGCTATATGTCGCTTATGCACACAAGCAATATTATTGTTTCGATGTAATCTTATTTCAAACATATCAACTGGTATGTCATTTTTTTACCCATGGGGAAACATTGAATTTATGTTTTCTCCAGATTCATCTCTGCGTTTGCTATGCATGTCTCTTAGCATGACAAGAGGTACATTTAATATCCTCATCATTTCTATAATTTATCATATGATAAACAAAATTCTATTTTCCCCGTTTTCTTCCCACTGTTATAAAATGCAGATGAAGATATTCCAAATTCCAAGTCACAAATCGATAGTCTGTACATATTTAATTGCATTGAATCGAATTTAACTAGTAAGACTAAATTGAATTGAATTGAAGGGGAAGTTATTATGAAAAAGACAACTGCCGAATTTAAATGAAATATATTCAAAGTGAAATTACTAATTATAACAGGACTGCAGTAAACGTTTACATAATGTATCATAATATTCTTACGTTACTTAAAATGTTACTTATAAAAAACTTCCAACGGCTAAAATAGGCATAGTTTTGTTAATAAATTGTTCTTCTCTACATCATAGCAAACTAATCTGTTATTTATCAGTCTCCAGAGCATTCAATTTAAAGGCCTTCCAGACAGGGAGCAAAATGAACACGAAGTAATTTGTAATGGAATGCAGCAATATTTACACCATGGTCCTGTGTCACTGTAAGGCTTGAAAAGATATTTGATGCGATGTATTAGTCCAGTTCAATGTAACATAACTACAGAGAGTATACTAATATCATCAAATGAAAACAAATCAGTAATACCGATAATTTGACAGGATGACCCATGAAGCTGATTTTTTTAAATTTTTGATTACAAATTTAGTATAACAATTTATTTATTTAAAGACACAATAATATAATTACATATAAAACCAAGAAATATAAGCACAAACAAAATTAATGTAAATACTTTAAAATAACAACAACATGAGGCAAATAACAAAATTTAATCAATTTTTTTCAAATTATACATATCACTTGCTTCTATTTCCTGCGTCTCAAGAGATATTTACCTCTTAAATTCAACTTCATGACACAAAAACTAAAGAAAAAATTATATTAGAAGAGGATTTTTTTTCTCTCCAACTTATCATGTGATAAACTTAATCCTATCTACCCCATTCTCTTCCTATAGTTATTTAGATTGAGATGTTTCAAATTACATGTCACAAATCGATAGTCTGTATAGATTTAATTGAATTGAATAAAATTTAATTAAACTGAATTAATTTAATTGAAGCGGTAATTAAAATGGAAAATACAACTACCGAATACAGATCAAATATGCAAAGCAAAATTACCAATTAACTTTTTACAAAGATATCATAAGTTCTTCATTTATTTACTAAAATGCTTAGTCAAGAACCAAAACTTCTGACTGTTCAGCGAAGCCTAATTTTTGTTAAAACGCATTGTTCTTCTCAACAATATAGTTAACTAATTTGTCATATTATCAGTTCCCAGAGCATTTAATTTATTGAATTTTCAGACAGAGTGCAAAGTGAATACGAGTGCATTTTCAATGGAATGTGGCAGTATTTTCACCATGATCCTGTAAAGGCTTCTTATTATAATCTGATATGATGTATTAGTAAACTTCGATGTAACATACATACGAAGAGTAAAATGATATCATAAAATAGCAACAAAATAATCAAAATAACTTGAGAGGATGACCACTGAAAAGCATATTTACAATTCCCCTTTTACAAAGTCAGTATTAATTATTCCTTCATTTCTTCTTCTCTTAAAGATACAAAATAATCATGATAACAATCACGAAATATTAGCATTAACACAAAATAAACTTTAGAATAAATTGAAAATAACGATATAAGATAAATAACACTTATAAGAAGTTAATCATTTTTTTTTCTTCAATTTTCAAGTTATACATATGACATATATCATTATATCACTTGCATCTATTTATTGCGTTTCAGGTGGAAGTTACCTCTTATATTCAAATTAACAGTTTGTAAAATTTTGAATTGCTTTTAATTATTAAACATTAAATTCTACTGCGATGAAAAAGAGGGAAAAGGGATGAGGAAATATTGATACCAGGGCCCCGTCTTTACAAAGAGTTGATATCAATCGCAATTATTTGCTATTTATATCAATCGCGACTATGTACATAAGAGATAGGAGACTGCAAACTTGCGATTGATTTGGATCAATCGCAACTCTTTGTAAGACGGGGGGACCCAGAGGAAATATTGATACCAAACAAAACAACAAAAAACATTTGTTTTGCTCTACAGTACAATATTTATTCACTATGTCCTTTCTCACTCAATAACACAATTTGAAATATCAAGCAAAGCAACAACTTCTGACATTCTAAAG